GCTTTCTGGCTTGGTTTCTTGCTTTTTCTTTCTGTCTTTCTTTCTTTTTCTTTCTCTTTCTTTTCCTTTCTTTCTTTTCTCCTTCCTTCCTTCCTTCCTTCCTTCTCTCCCTCCCTTCTTGTCTTCCTTTCTTCCTCCCTTCCAACAGAGTCTTGCTCTGTTGCCCAGGCTGGAATACAGTGGCATGATCTTGGCTCACTGCAACCTCCACCTCCCGGATTCAAGCAATTCTCCTGCCTCTGCCTCCCAAGTGGCTGGGATTACAGGCACACACCACCATACCCAGCTAATTTTTGTATTTTTAGTAGAGATGGGGTTTCACCATGTTGGCCAGGGTGGTCTCGAACTCCTGATTTCAAGTGATCTGCCCACCTCAGCCTCCCAAAGTGCCAGGATGACAGGCATGAGCTGCTGCACCTGGCAGTGCTTCAATTTCTGATGCTTTTCCAGTATGATGTTACACAAAGGACCAGCCTGGTGATGGTAGTGATAACCCAAGGGAGGAGGAGCAGGGCAGATGCAAGGGCAGTGGACTAATGTGGTCGTTTCCCTCCCCAGGCCTTGGGACATTTATGTAACCCTGGTTCTTATCGGACAGACCTAGGATTTGTCTAGCTGGAAGGGCCTTCCAAGGTTGCTGTCTCTATTCTTCTAGTTTTACATAGGACAAAGCTAAAGCCCAGAGGGTGAATGACTTCTTTGAAGCCGGCTGAGGCCAAAATTGAAACTAGAACTTTATCTTTTAGAAGGAAAATGTATGCAAGAAAATTTTCTTTTCCTTCCTTCCTCTCTCTTTCGCTCCTTCCCTGCTTTCCTTCCTTGGTAAATATTCTTTACATTTTATTACCCTTTTATTTTTCAGAATAAATCCTATTCCAACTTACAAGTCTATTTTGCTCTTGTCTGGAGAACATGGTTGTGGGAAGTCTACTCTGATTGCCAACTGGGTTAATTACTTCAAAAAGAAACATCCGAGCATGTTGTTGATTCCTCATTTTGTGGGCAGCACCTGTGAAAGCAGCGACATCATGTCTGTGATCCATTACTTCATCACAGAATTACAGTACAGAAACTACGGTAAGAGAGTCAGATATACCATTCATTCAGGACATGTCAGGGGAGTTAGAAATGGGTGGCTCTCTCCTCTGCTCATGTGGCTGTTGTTCCCTTGCTCTGATCTAAACCCTTTATTGCCTCCCACATCTACCCACCTCTTCCCTCACAGAGCTAAGCTTCCTTCCTGCCTGCCTGCCTCCTTCCTTCCTTCCTTCCTTCCTTCCATCCTTCCTTCCTTCCTTATTCCTTCCTTCCTCCGACAAATTCTC